CTACTACTATTACTACTACTACTCATCAGATGAGAAATGGTATACTATGCTAAAGTAGCTCCTGGAAGTATAATGTTATTGCAAATAAACAAAACATGCCAAAACTGATCATGCCATTCTTACTTTTCCCATGGCTAAAAGAAAGGCTGGTAATCTAGTCCATACTTTTGAATTATGGAAAAAAGTTATGAAAACATTTCAATTGACTAAAATTATGATGAAAACTAGATGTCAAAACCTATAGGTTCCTTTGGTGACAACAATGGCAGATGAAAGATGACAACTTGGAATGAAAGAGAATTTAATTATGAAGAGTGTAAACTAACTAATAAAATGAATGAATGAGAGAATAGATACATTGTATATCTGAAGTTAAGAGAAAGAACAAGAATACAAAGGTATCTGATCTTGTAGATTGACAATGAATGCAGGGAAGCAATAGTACAGGTTCAATTACAAATGAAAAAAAAGGAGAGATGTATGTCAAAGACTGAATTTGAGGTATGAGTGCTGAATGATAGTAGTAGTAACCTACAGCTTAGAATGTTGCACTCTCGGGGAGGGGACAATCAGTAACACATTTGGGGAAACGTTGATGTTGCACAACTTTCTGAATGACTCCGAAGTGGAAAAACTCTTCTGTTAAGTGATAGAAATGGATGAGTGGGATTGAAAAGGCACAGAAAAATATAATTTGAATCTTTGAGAATGATGATAGGACAGTACTTGCCTAGCAGAATGTTTTAAATACAGAGTTTAAACACAAATCTATTCAAGCGTACACATGGAAAAGGAAGTGACTGAAAAGCACAGTTGATTCATTTTTGGATGAAAGACAGAGATTTAGTGGTAGCATAATGATGACGAAAAGTTCTGAATATGAGACAGGATGGGAAGGCATTAGAAATTGTGTGTAAAGAATTATATTAGTGTGCCACAGAAACGCGAGGAGTTCTCCACACAAGAAAAATGAAAAAGGGTGATTCATTCATTCATTGTCAAACAAATGTCATCTCAAACCAGTGGTTCTGGGCATTGAAAACAACTTTACATTCTTAGAAGAATCAAATAAAGAAATTGTGGATGAAAAAAAGCATATAAGATAATTACAAATTGAATAAGAAAAAGATACAAATTGCAGAAAAAAGCAGCTGCAAAGAAAAAAAATTAAAGAAGCAGAACAATGCTCAGAAATTTGATAAAAATAAAACATTGTTTTGGAAGTGGGTGAACTAAACCAAGAGACCCCAGCAAAATATATAAGATTATGAAATATTATGAGAGAAAATGAAATGAGGGAATGTCAGGAACTTTTTAGAGATTTGAATGAAAGGAACCATACGCTGAAGACAGGAATGAAAATGAAAAGTCTATGATTGTCTGAAGAAAAAATGACGAAAAGAAAGTAAAAAATATAACTAGGTTGAAAAAATAGCAGTTGTAGGTATAAGCAGTGTAATTGGATAAATGTTGAAAAATTGATACAGAATGACTGTGCAATTGATTTTCCATATGTATAAAGGCTTCAGCTGTGTTTCAAATTTGGGAGAATCGATTATTGTCTCTTTGCAAAAGGAAAAGGGAGCAAGTGTGAATGCAAAAACTACAGGGAGGATTTCTTGGTTAAGTGTCCCAGGGAAGGTGCTTGGCAGAATTCTGAATGAAATGGTACCAAGAGTTGCCCTAAGCCAAATGTGGTCTGGCTTTATGCAGGGCATGAGGTATGCAGACTAGTTTTCTGCATTAGGAAATGAATTCAATGAAAAATGTACTCAGGTGATAATGAATCTTAGGTCCTTATTGGACATTCAGAGAGAGAGCATCTTATGTGAATGTGTGATTAGTTATTGAACATTATAAGACCTGTATATAAAAAAATAAAGTATTAGTATTAAATGGACAGCAACTCAAAAGGCTCAACCCTGAGTTAGAAGCAAGGAAAGCTCTCTTGACTGTTTAAGGTATTTATGGGTAAATTTCTAAAGAATGCTGATAGAGATGTTATAGGCATGTCATGTAGGAACATGAATGAGCATGTACCTTTGTATTCAGATGCCATGTTGCTAGCTGAGAATCTAAACTGTTTGCAGAAAATATTAGATAAGTGATATATAACAAGGAAAATGAATCTGAAAAGTAATTGTCAGGGTTCCAAGTAACACCCCCAACCAATGAAGACTCCAAGGCCAGCAGTTCCTCCAGGGCTGACAGTAGTATTGGTATTTTTAATGTTGTTTGCCTCCTAGCATCTTTAGGAAGTCAGGCAGTTTTATATTTGATGAATAAATGAAATATCCAAGAAGAAAAGAAAGTGGTATAAGTAAATCCAAGCTATACATCAATGGTGGCAAGCAGGAGCAATTGATTGAGTTTGTGTACCTTGGTAGAATGCCTATTAAAAATGGGGAAAAAATGGTGAAGAGATCTCAATATGTACAAACACTAGTAGAAATGTAATGGGGATATATGTGCTCTACTGCACAAATATTCTCTAAAAAGTGAAAACTACTTTATATAAATGCATATTTGCACCTACTTTTTATGCCAGAAGCATAAAAGTAGACTGAATGCTGTAGGACTGGATCACTTAGGAATTGTGTGCGGTTAAACCAGAGAAAAAGAGTCAAGAATGAATCAGCGTTGAAAGATTGTGACTGAATATAATAACATGTAGCCAATAGAAAAGAAATAGTAGGTTGGTCATCACTGTGAATGAATACGACTGAATGGCAAAATAAATGAACCATGGAGGAATGTGAGGAGCAAGAACATGGCTGGATGCAATTGACAAGAGGGAGGCAAGATGTCTGAAGGCTAAAAGGCAAAGGAGGGTCTGGAGACAGTAAAAGCAAGGATGATTTACAAAGACAGAAAGTTATGAAGTGGTATAGCAAGAAGGGTTGGTATGAACTAGGTTTAACAATAATCCCTTTTCATTTTCTTATCTTGTGCCCTTAATTCCTTATGTTTACAATTTCTATTTTTCCTATGCTTTACATAATATTTAGTCTCCAAACAAATTGCATATATGTAACCTTAAAGAGTTGCAGGCAGATGACATACTTGCACTTCATGTACTCTAAAACACCTCTACCTAATTATTTCCATAGCCCTAAAACATGCAATAATGTCTCTGAACATCCTATTTGATTTTTTTTGTTATTTTATATTCCAGTTTTAATATTTTTAAAAGAAACTCTGTTGTCACATTAGCATAGAAATTGTCACATTCTGATTAAGTTACCATTTTCTGCAATTCTTCTGCTGCTTCTTGAATTCTCTCTCTGTCATTGCTATCTACCACAAAAATGAGACCCTGGAGAGGGGAAAGTATTGATTAATGTGGTGAGATAATAATAAATAAAAAGATTCAAGTCAAGTCTGCCTTGATTTCATATATCTTTATCTCCAAAATAAAGTTTCAGATGTGAAACCATGCAAAATATCAAGCTTTTTTTTTCCTGACATGCAATCTATTCCTATGTGCCAGTACTTCAGAAGAGCCAGGAAATGGTCAGGAAAGTATATCCAAACTTTAGAATTTATGATAGCTTTCAATAAAAAAACCATGTCTTCAGCTACTGATGAATTAACACTATTTAATTAACTTGCTATAGCAACCATAAAGAATGCATCTCCATTAGATAATTAAGACTACTGTTTCTATCAAAGTTCACAAAACAGTCCTACTAAGTGATATCATAAGATTTCTTCTTCAGTTTAAGTTTTCAAACGGTTAACTTTTTGGAGTAATTATTTAGTTTCCATTCCTGCACTGAGCACTGGACTAAATGGGGCCTTTTGTTAGGGTTCACATGTGCTATTTGTGCTCCAAATATAGTTTTGCCCATCAATGACTGAATTTCTCTATTAAGCGAAACAATTTTGCTGTGTGGGGATAGTGCCATGGAGAACTATATTTAACAGTCTGCCCTCTGATGCAAAGGAATGGAAACAATGTCCAATGCTCAGCTCACCTTGTATGTTTCATAAGATTGGAAGAGGAGTACAGCTCATGAAAACAACTGTGCAAGTAATATGCGATAGTTACTATATGCTCCTTTTCCATTCCCAACCACTTGGGAAATGCTGGGAACCAAGTATCTATACAGCCACACTGTTGTAGTTAATTCTTCAGCCTTACGAAATCATAAGCCCAAGGGACCTATGTCTCACCTAACTACAGTTTGCAATGAGGTCATCACAGATAAAGTCCTTAAACCTTGACCTGTCATGCTGGCTTCTGGAGAAACATAATCTTATTCAATGGATGAGATTAACATTTTGTACTGGTTTTAGCTATAGGACTCCATCCCCAACAAGTACAAATAAATAATAAAAGCAAACATAAAAAAATCAGTTAATTAAATACATTTAAAAAAATAACATAGCACCACGAAATAAAGCAAATTAAGGATGTTATTTAAATCCTAAATAATTGAGAGTCATTAATTCAATGAGTGTTTAAAAAATAAATAACTTGCTAGAAATTACCTGTGTGTTCTGAAAATAATGCCTCCAGAGTGGTCTAATTTTATCTTGACCACCAACGTCCCAAACAGTGAAACAAATATTTTTATATTCTACTGTTTCCACATTAAAGCCTAAAGAAAAATAAGAAAATTATAACTACCAGAAATATCAATTACAACAAATTGCAATATTATTCAAACTATCCAGTTTTAAGGACATTTCAATGCTTAAATAGCTGATTGAAGTAGGTGTGGGGATGGCATTACATAAACCTGACAAAAACAAAATATACTCACANTGACTAATCGTAATGATCCTTTCTTTTGTTTTAGGTGAAAATATCCGTCTAATCCAAGTTGCAATAGCATTATCCCATATTAAGCATGTGATCAATGACATGTATCCTGGTACACCTCTCATCCTCTCTGGGGATTTTAATGCCACACCATCAACTGGAACATATACTTTTGTCAATAGTGGTAGTATTACCGAAGATCATGAGAGCTGGGATTCAGAAGTTAAAGAGCAACGGTTTGCTATGTCTCTAACCCACCAGTTCGGTCTTAAAAGTGCTTGTGGAGAACCAGCCTACACTAATTATGTTGGAGGCTTTCATGGATGTTTGGACTATATTTTCATTGATGCAAATGTTTTGGAGGTTGAACAAGTAATTCCACTGCCAAGCCATGAAGAAGTAACCACCCACCAGGCCTTACCAAGTGTTTCACACCCATCAGATCATATAGCACTAATATGTGATATAAAGTGGAAATAATCTCATTATTTTTGGAAACATGTGCTACTTGTGAAAAATTAAGTTGGAATGCTTTGATCACAATTATATATCATTTATAATTCTTTGTAAGTGGTCATACTTTTTATAACAGCGTTCTTATGTACCAGTGCTATATTTTTCTTCTATTAATGAACAGAATCAATACAATTTGAAACTATGATTGTCCTATTTCATTTTCAGATGACTTAAAATAAGGAGTAAGACTGGTTTGTTTAAACTGATATTTGCCAATCAGTCACTACTGACATGTTGAGGGAATACCCACTATGTTGTCTTTATAAGACTGTATTAAAGATTCAAAAAAAAATATTCTGACAGTTCCCACTATATTGAGGGAAAAGCTCTTTCATACAAACCAAAATAATTTGGGTTTAAATAATAGTAATATTATGGTATATTTGGGCAGTGATTTTTTTTTTTTGACTAAAGACCGATTTTGCTAGGGAGCTTAATTTTGATCAATAGTAATCCACGTTTAGGGGAGCTTAAGGACTATTGCTTCTTGCTGTTTTGGAAAGTTTGCAAAGAATTTTCATGGTTTGAGCAAGGTCTAAGCAACAAAGACTCAGTGGATGACAACCTCACTTCTTATTTCATTTTAAGCAAATATAAGTAATTAAAGAGGTGCTGTAGCTGCATCTTTGAGATGAGACTAACTTTCTCTAGTGTCTTGTCTCGCTGACAGAGGCTATAAGAGGTAATTAAGCTCCAGTTAACCCTCTTCCAGACTGGTTCACAAGACCAAGTTAAAAAGGTACTCAACTGTTAATCCTGTGTACAAGGGCAAATTGTCTCCTTTATTAACTAAGGATGTTTGAATGTCCAGATGTAATCAACATACTGGTGTTACTGGTAACCTGGTTAAGCATGTTCTGCACCCTGCACCATTAAATCCTGAATCTTTGTTAGCTGCCCAAAGTTACGGATTTGAGATAGGTGACCATATAAATAAAATAAAATAACTAAAATGATTAATTGCTTAACTGTTTGATCTGTGACCCCATCATGTGACAGTGCTAGGTCTACTTCTTGCAGCTTGTTAACTGACTAATGATGGAGGATGTTGGCACCCCGTTTCATTGCCCTAATTTGTGTAAGATAAGATTATTTTATGGCTAGCTACTTTATGGTACAAGGTCATGCAACCATAATTATGGCTAATTTTATGTCAATTTGCATAGATTGTTAAACTAGATACCAGATTAACCATGGTTTAGTATTCCATATGAAAACAGTATAACTCATTTTTGTCTGTCAGGTTTGCTAATTTATGTAGTTTCTGGATCCTTTATTTACCTAACCAGATTGCTACAGTATATTCAGTCTGTGTGTTATATATTATTAAAAACTCTTGATTCCTGTAACCTTTACCTGGGCAAAACAATGCAACAAAAGGGTTGAACATTTTAAACAAGTTAGCTCAAATGGGCTAATTTACAGAATGTGTCCAAAATCTGGGACCCATGTCTCTTATGAAACTGAAATTTGGCAAGTTTTATGATGACATAAACATATAAAACACTATGATGTAATACACATGTTAAGCACTATGATGTGATACAAATAGTGTTTGATTCTGCTATAGAGTTCAACATGGGCTATTTTCAAAGCAGATGTATCTCTGAATGTATCCCAGCTTTTCCAGTTAAAGCAGTATATTCAAAGCTCTGCCATTGTCAAAGGCATTGAGAAATCTGAGTAAGAAAATTCTGAAAGCATGACCCAACCAGTCATGAGTCGGCTGGTATCATCCAAAAGTTAACTTTTGCTCTAATTGGTAAATACACTCCACATAATTTTTCTGATAGTTGAAATTAGTTATACTTGACTCAGGTATTTAAAAAACTCCCACCTGTATAAACATTTCGATATTAACTGCTGCATTTTCACAATGTTTGAGTCCTAGAATCCTTTGGAAAACCAGAGTTTAGAAGCAAATGGCAATTGAAAAAAAAAACTACCTTGTACACCACCACGTCTTGTGCTAAGAATGCAAAACAATTTAACAGAGGATCTAATAAGCTGTAATAACCAATGTTGAAAATCTCAATTTTGAACAGCAAAAAAATAGTATTTCAGTAATTTTTAGAAAGCCATAAGCCATGATGTAAATGCAAATGTATCCCTTAAGAACAGCATCTTTAAAAAAATTAAATCTTTGTTTCCTTTGACGGCATTCAGGCAACCTTGCCTAAGATATACAAACTGGAAGGAATGTAGTGTGAGCTATTTGTTTTTAAGTTATTTTCAGGTTTGAACATCAGATTTAGTTTTTTCTTGTTTGAATAGCCTGGCAATATTAAATGTTCCTGCTTAAGACTGGAATGAGAACATAAGTCAAAGAAACAATGCTGATCTGTGCAAGCCCTATTAAGTAACACAAGGTCTGATTGGCTTAATGTAACCAACAATTTTCTGAGTAGATATAGGAATGTTATAAAAGTAAAGTATTTGACAAAATATCTGATAACATTCTGGTAGATAGAACGATTACTAAATGTATACATACATGGCTGAACATTTATACAGTTAAAGTAAAAAACTGGAGAAGGCATCTAATGGAGTGCCAAAACATGCAGTCATGAGACCAATATTCCTTAACATTTTTATTAATGACTAGGATGAAGAGGTAGATGGAAATAATGGATTCTGTGGACACTACATAGTGCTATTACATCCCAACATGTTTGCAAAGTACTGATGACAGTTCTCAAATTGTGCTAATTTCTTAAATACCATAATTTGTCAAAAAAGTATAACAAGCCAAAGAAGATATTATGGCTTAATATGAAGTATGAAGCTAATGTATGTATTATGTAAATTTAGCAGTTTGGAGAATTATTTGAATGATATAAAGTAATTCAATAAATTAAAATTTCAGTTTTAAATGCATCATTTTTGGGGTGCTAGTTATAAATGAGTTTAAAAGACATTAGAAAATTCAGATTTTGAGAAGAGATATATGAAAATTTCCAAATTAAGTGGCTATCAGACTATCTAAGCATCAAATAATTGACTACGTGGGACTCACAGGACAATTGCCAGCAAACCAAAGTGTTCTGTCAATCATTAATGAAACAGACTCTTTGGGCAGTTTGAACTTTATTACATTCTGAACTCTAAGTACTCTCATATCTGGACATCTTAAAAGGATTTAATTTACAGCTTCAAAACACTTTTACAAGATTTAGCTTTGATAATTAATCAGTTATGTTGTACACAACTTTTAACTGCCCATCTTAATTTTTTGCCAAATTGAAAACAATTCAAAATCTATTCAGATCTGTTTGTGTTCAAGGTACAGAAAAAACTCCGTTTATTGAAAAAGAATCCGTCACACATTCATTATCAGTTCCACAAACGTAAGATTCAAGGAGCATACAACAAAGCTATACATTTTTATCATTTTAATTAGGAATAATTCTGAATAGGTTATAAAGAAATTAATCCATCAAGTCTGAAGAATTTTCAAAATCTCTTCATGAAGATATGTTCACCAATAAACAGTAAAACTTTAGCAGAACTATTATACACTGGGCAAAACAGGCTGATACTGAAAGCAACATGCAAAAAGAAAAAAAAAAGACAATCTGCTGAATATTTAAAAACTCCAATGAGCTTGTTGCAACCAGCACAGTAAGTATTATCAGGCTGAGTTCACACAAAGGCAAAAGTGGGTCAATTGAAAAGGTGGGGGTTAATAAAATGTTCCTCAGTGCAGAAGATTTGAATAGTGTTTTAGAGGATTCTTGGCAACATTAGGAAGTGTTTTTATAAGGGAGAGAAATAAATATAAATGGAATGCTAGATTAAGTCAGCAGACTGTCTTATGGAATGAAACAAGGATTGGTAACTTAGGAGATAAGAGGGGTCTTAAATATACTTAATTGAATTGGGGCTCAATAAGCATTCAATAGATTTCAAAGTCACAACTATATTCAGGCATTTAGGCTAACAACAAAAAGAAAAATCAGAAGATACACTTTTTTTCCAAATTAAGGAGTTTCTCTTTAACCCAAGTCTAGTGTTACCTTGGCAACATAGCTTGGAGAACAATAATTGGCAACAAAATAAGTAAAAATGCTGTAATATCCTGCCCAAATCAGTTCCAGATACTGTATAATAAACCAAGATGCAGCTAATTTTGATGTAACAAGCCTAGACCACTTATATCAAACGTGTCCTTGGTGCGAAAGTCATCCAGTTGCAGTTAACGCTTTGATAGCTCATTTGACAGCCAATCAAGTCCCTCGTATAGACCAGTACCTTGTGTAGCACAGGTAGCCTGAACATACCACTGTAAAAAGAAGGAAGTGATATTTTTAATATTCGGGACTGTTCTTGAGAACACATTTCAGTTCTGAAATCCAGGACAAATCCCCATGCCTCCCATATTAAGCAATTNCCTAACCCTTAACCTAACCCTAAACCTTACCCTAACCCTTAACCTAACCCTTACCTTAACTTGAATCGGCTTGCTTTCAAAGCGCTATTTAAAGCGCCCTTCTTCGCGCTCGCTGTTGTCGCCCTGTTGATGACGTCAGCGACGCGGTTTAATCGGGCGTGCTTTAGTCGAGCGCGGTTTTGTCGTGCCACGGGTGGGCGGAGTCTTCCACTGCCGCCACTATCAATTTGCCCGATCCAGGGCGAACCGGCAGAAACCCACCTCTGAAATTACTGGTTATAAATTATGACCATTAAAAATCAGATATATACAATATTCATACCCACCTGAAGTTACATCATCCCTCTAGCTGAATTGACGTAAACCAGTCCTAGTTTTAAGGAGGCAAATGTATGCAGTGGCAGATTTCTCAGTAGGTATCCTTGAATGTTAATTCATTGTGGAAGGACAGAATAAACAATACATGATCTGAAAAACAGCTGAACAAATTAGCAAAATCTGCTTTCTGCTTTAAACAGTAAAATCATCAGAAGCAAATCTGTTTTCTCCTACAATGGATTATAGTTAAGTTTGTATATCTGTTGTAGCAAAAAGAAAGGAGCAAATCAGTTCTATTTCAACATCACCTCATATTAAAATGAAGCTTGCATGCTGAGTTTTTCATTTATCTGTCCTCTACAGTTACTATTTTTTCTATTTCAATACAGATGGTCCTCGACTTACAACCACAACCGAGCCCAAAATTTCTAAGTGAGACACTTTTAAGTGAATTTTGCCCCATTAAAGAACTTTCTTGCCATAGTTGTTAAGTGAATCACTGCAGTTGTTAAATTAGTCTGGTTTTCCCACTGGCTTTGCTTGTCAGAAGCTTGCAAAAGTTAAGCAGATGAACCCAGGACACTGTGATTGTCAAAATATGAGACAGTTGCCAAGTGTCTGAATTTTGATCACATGACCATGGGGCTACTGTAACAGTCATAAGTGTGAAAAACTTTTACTTTTTTCAGTGCGGTTATAACTTTGAACAGTCACTAAATGAACTGTTGTAAGTCAAGGACTACCTATAATCAGTCCCATTTTTGACATCATACTTTTCATTCATTCTTTCGCTTTTTCCCTACAGGTATTTTAAAAATATTTCTGAGTAGATCTAAGCAAATAAATAGCTGGCTGTTTGTATATATGCTGTGTTGGTATACCTTGGGTTGAGTTCATGAATGATTTATACTCTTGAAAAATGACATAAGAATTACTTCACTCTCTTACAGGTTCAGGCATCAGGTTCAACATGTTGAATTTAACCATGGTATTTTCAATGTAGTATATGCCTTCACATGTTACAAAATGATGAAAAATATGTGTAGGTCAAGCTTGGCTATTGATTATAGATATGGAAATGGTACATTTTTGCTCTGTGGTCTGTTTTTCTACTATTCAGGCCAGTATATAGTCCTGAGGTTCTTGGTGGTCTCCCATATAAAAATTAATTAGTTCAACCCTGCTTAGGTTTTTCAAATCTGCTAATGCTACTACTTCATGCTACTAGTACCATCCATAAATTAAGAAGAAGGGTGAATCTATTGCTTTAAGATCTCATTTAGCCTATGAATCCCCCTTTGCAGTCATTAACATTATCTCCGATTATGACAGCTGAAAATTGACAGATCATTTCCCACCATTTGGAAGTGAAAACATGAAAACTGACCAATTACATTATTTCTGTTCTTTAAAAAAAACAAATAGAATTTCTCAAAAACAATTGTCTTGAATTCTCTCTGACCAGAAAGGCAGGGTGATGACAACAGTAATAATAATAATAATTGCATCTGAAAAATTTGAAGAACTGAATTGAAATTGAAAGATTATAGCATAAACAGCCATAGTTCAGTGGTCTCATACGACAAAATCTTGGCAGCACCTACAACATATGTGCATTAACAAAATTTCCATCTGTCCGTTACAAAAAGGCTACACTGCTTGGTTCCACACATACACTATACCAATGCATTATGACATCCTAGGTTTGTGAAAAGAATTCAGTGCGTACAAAGGTCAAAACCAGCTAACAAACTAGCAACTATGATTTCACATTTTTTGTATATAACAACAACACCACCACACTTAAATGCAATTCTAAAACATCTAAAGTCCCACTTGAATCACCATCAGCATTGACAAAATCNCGGCTGCATTCTGGACCAGTTGTAGTCTCCGAACGCTTTTCAGGGGCAGCATAATTTGTTTAGTCACGTTTTAAAAATTATAGTGCTAGAACAAGAAATTCAACAAAGATTTTATTTCTTGAGTTTTTATCTCAGCTTGTAGAACATTTTTCAATGTTGGCTTCTTTGGGTTTCTTTTATCTGAATAGTTTATCTTGGAAGCAAACAAGTAGCAGGAAAAATTGTGTACTGGTCATAGACACTTTCATCTCTGGCTCTAGAATTTCTCTTTGTTGGGATTATTCCTCAAAACAAGTATCTTTAGACATAAAACGTATGAGCTCAGTAATAATGTACCATAAAGAGTTTAATAGTCTAGAAATTTCATTCAAGCCTATACTGTGACAAACTGCAATTCTCCTATAAACCTAAACTTAATGAACATTGTTGCTTGTTTATAATATTAACAAATTAATGTATTCCCATGTTCTTACCAATTGTTGGAATTGTAGTGACAATCTCTCCTAATTTGAGTTTATAGAGAATGGTGGTTTTTCCAGCTGCATCCAAGCCAACTAGGGGGGAAAAACAATAAAGCCATTTTTCACTCTTCACACTTTTTACAACAGATTCAGTCATGTGTGTTTTTTCAAAATAGATTTTCTATCCTGTAAATGTTCCTTGTCCATCTCCCAGGGTGTGTTGTATCATAATTTTACTCTACCTAAATATATAATGAAAATACAATTTATTTTCTCTCTTCATTTTGCAATTTATTTTCCTATTTTGAGATTTGTAACTGGTCTCCTCACTTCCAAACCAGCTGCTTAACCAAAAAAGTTAAATAGCATAAGCAAGAGTTCTGAATATTAATTCTGGTCCACTAGAACTGGTATTCAGTATAGTTTGTAATATTATTGTTTCTGCCTCTAGGTCATCTGAAATATTCAGCTTTGTATCATTTTGAGTCCCAAATAGAAGGTTCCCAAAGTCTCCTCAACACACGACTGTACTAACTCTGAACTGGCAATTGGCAAGTCTGAATAAAAGTGAACAACAAACGATATGTGCCAATCAACACTGATAAAAATTTAATTCACTATAGGAAAAGAAAAACCTCTCCATAGCTCTCCCTGCAACATCAGTATCAGGGGAAAAAATAGCATCTTTCAAAGAGGACCATGGGGAGGGGAGGAAATATTAGCATACTTATAGAAAAATACAAGATTTACAGAATTATACTAAAATTGTGTTTTCCTTTTAAAAACATATGGTATTATTGAAATGCATGTTTCTATAAAGTTCAAATTTACATGTGTTATACTCTATACTGAGTAACTATAATTTGTTAAGAGTTTTCCAATTAACTTTTAAAAAATAAAGACATATTATATTTTTACATAGGTTTTCATTAAATAAAAGTAAATATGTATTCTGAGCCTTATTTAGAAAAGCAGATATCTTATAAATACTTATAAATACAAAGCTGTTTTAGCATTGTTTTTAGCATTTAGCATTATTAATGCTAATAATGCAGTTTCAGTTTGAGGCTGAAATATATTAGATCTTAAAATAATACAAAAAACCCATGATGATTTTGCATAAAGAAATTAAAACTCAAGAACTCACAAACTTTTGCATTACATGTTGTCATCCTTGAGAGATGAGAGATACAGTATTTTGTAATACAGCAGAATGCTAAGGATTAGCTTGGGAATTACACTTCTTTTTACAAACAGCATTTCATAATTATTTAGAAAGCATGCTGGGGATCCCAAGAACTGTAATTGAAAAAGACTGTATATTGGCTTCTTTCCTCTGCAGACTTATGCATCCCCAAATGCTTAGAGATATAATGAGAAGTATGTAGTACAAAGCACAGGATTGTCATAAACAAATCAAGCAGATTCTGTATGAATCTCCCAAATGTGGAAGCTAAATGGAATTGCAAGGTGAAAAGGGGAGAGGAAAATTCATATTGTTACAAGTTTTAAGATCTAAGCCAAGGTTTCATATGAAATGTTATGCAGTAGAACATAGAAATAAAAATGTCCAGAACACTGCATTAATTTTAGGACCTATGCAAAGAAAAGCAACAATAGCTGAAAAAATATAGTCCTACATAAGCACTGAACAGGCTAATTCTTCCCACAGCTCTTTTTACTTTATAACATCAGACATATGCCTATGAAGATATGTTTTTGATTTGCATGCAATCAAATCATCTAGTTAATTCTCATATAGTTTACTTAACTCTCAAACTGAGCCATGGCTGATGTATAGAATCAAAGTCTGAAATTGTGGCTTGTTATAAAAATAAGGAAGAATCACGGAACTGGAGCTGAACCAAACTTAACTTCTATGCCTCAGCATATCCTGCAAAAGTGCCCAGTCTTTCCCTCAAAGAACACCTTCCCAGATTGTTATTTCTTTCTTACAGTGGCAACTCTTCACACAGTGGTCTTCTATTTTTTGATGCATTTAACACCACAAAATAAAATTCATTATATTTTCTCCTTAGAGTGCACCATTTTCATGTGTAAACTGAGAGATGCTCTTAGAAGAAGACTAGAGAGAGGTGCATGGGAATAGAAATGGGATGATACACTCTGCTTTTTGATCGGTTAAAAATATACAAAGCAAGGTTGAAAATGGTGTGATAACATTATCCCACAGCCAGAAATCAGATATATAACATTCTCAAGAAGGAGAAAAGGGCTTTAGAGATCTTATCACAAAATTTTAAAAAAACTATGTTTTTTCACGGCAGCTAAGCTTCTGAAACTACACCTTTTTTCTTCACATTCTTACTTACCAAAGTGAAAAATACTCTGGACTAAAATGGAGATTCTTATCTAGGGTATGGTCACTGATTGAAATACTTTAAAATATATGTAAAATATATTATTAACAGAAACAACTTTATCATTGTTGAGAACATCTGGAACAGTTAAGCTGAAGCTGTACAGGATAAAATACAGTTGAGCATTTTTACAGGATTTTAAAAAACGATTAAAACATATCAATATTATTTCCTAAAGACTGGCACTTATACTAGTAATAGTCAATGACTATAATAGCTGTAATAATATTAATCTGCTATAATAAAGCCTAGCATTGCTAATATCCAATGATTATAGAATGATTTTCCAATTATGCCTCCCTATATAATATAGCTTGTTCTGTTCAAACCCTCAACCCTCTGAAGCTACGTAGGGGCGGGGTGAGAAAAGAAAGTTTAGTTGTGTGCACCCTGGGTTGTTGGTTTTTCATGTGCACTGGACCACTGTGAGAGAATTCCAACACACCCAGTTGTACTGCAAAATTCAGATATGCCCTCAAATGCTTAACCCAATTTCTAAAACATAACATTTTTTATTGACAGAAGAAATAGTTTTCTTGAGTTTTGGTCTTTCTGTGTAACATTCCAAATTTTGGTGGAATCATGCAGAATTAACATGAAATGTAAAAAAAAAACACCACACTGAGATATTGTTTCATCAGCAAATGAAAGTCAAGCTGATACACCTGACCTACAATGTCCATGAAAGAACATGTTCTCGTGTACCCTCTCACTTTCTGTACTGTATGCACGAGAAAGTCTGATGCATTCTTCACTGGATGAATAAACAGAAATTTGTTGCTGTGCCCAATACAGGTAGTCCTTAGTTTACAACAGTTCACTTAGTGATCGTACAAAGTTGCAACGGCACTGACAAAAATGACCACTATGACCATTTTTAGGACTCATGACCATTGCAGCATCCCCATGGTTATGTGATTTACATTCAGATGCTTGACAGGTGATTCACATTTATGATCGTTGCAATGTCCCAGGGTCAGGTGGATTACCTTTTGACAAGCAAAGTCAATGGGGAAACCAGATTCACATAACAGCCAGGTTACTAATTTAAGACTGCAGTAATTCATTTAACAAATGTGGCAAGAAGAGACATAAAATATGATAAATCTCACTTAGCAACATAAATTTTGGGGCCAATTGTGGTTGGAAGTTGAATGTATTGGATTTGCATAGTTTAATTTGGTACAAAAGCCATGCTTTAAACAGTTTTCAAATCCTGTTAACATAACAACTAGCCAAGGAAGGCAGCACTTTTAGTACTGAAACATGAAGCAAGAAAAGTCTCATTTAAATATGTCATATACTGTAGTTTCAATTATAAACTGAAACTAATTTAAATCTAAAACTTGAAACTTCCAAAATTCTCTTCTGGCTCTTAGTAGTGCGAGGAGACACATAAATCAAAGTAGGCCATATTTTCATTTTTCAAGTTAGAATTAAGATATATATTAAACAAGATTCAGAACATATGCTGGGTTTCTGCAATCCTGCTTACCTTACTATTCATAACCCACTAAAAATTCTTACACATACCACACTTTCTGAATAAAAAGAATATCTTCAGGCAGCTGAAATATATATTTTTAAAATTAAGCTTAGATGAAGAAAGAAAATAATGTTATCCTTAACTACATGAGGATAACAGAAAATGTTAAGAGAAAGTACAATTCTGCAATTTGAAATATTTTCACATCACATAATTTCAAATACACATACTTACACATTTAACCTGATGGAAGAGATACAGTTCAAAATCATGGCTATTTTAGAACAGCAACTATATATTTAGGGCAAATTCTCAAAGTAATATTGTAGGCTACCAGCAACAAACAAACATACATACATACATACATACACACACATACTTACATATGTATATGTATATATATATACTTTTATACATCTTTTTTCTGACTGTTTTTTTCCTTGTTATTCATGTCAATGAAAAGTATTTTTAGTATCTCCCTTTAAAACCCATCTCCCAATAGCAAATACTAAAAATATATGTGCTAAAGGTCCAGTTTCATACACTGAAGCATACATCCATTTGTACAGTTAACCTTTCAACTTAAGCCCTTGTAACAAACGATGTGAGAAAAGGTCAATTTAAAAAAAGGGGGGGGGAGAAACCATAAGCGACCTTGATTCAATTGTCTATTAAGTGTTAGGGCACCTGTCCTCTCTTTACTTTATTCTAACCCTCTTGCTCAGGCGGAAGAAATAGGAGAAAATAAAAGGAGGCTGTTTTTACAAAAGGAACCCTAGCAACCATGAGGGCTTTTTGCTAAGACTTATTTTGAAACACAGGAAGAAGAAGCCCCATCGCACGGAAAACAAACCACATCCTGGCCGGGGCCTCCGGGGGGAGCAGGCGGGGGGCTGGAGAGACAATCGCCTTGACCTAAACCACCTTCTGCGGTGGATTCCTTGGGAAGATCCCGACCATCCGGGCTCCCACCACTCGAGCCGCCAATCCCACCCCGCTTCTCTCTCTCTTTTCCCTTTCTCTTTCGGCGCTTCTTTCGCCTCCGGCCTAAGTTGCGCCCCTGCCTGCCGCCCAAACGAGGCGTTCGAAACCCCGCCAGGCAACAGTAGCGGGCAACCCACCCAAGCCTCCCCCGCCCTATGGCTACGTGGGAGCCCCGAGCGCGGCGAGGAAGCAGTCTAGTCTCCCGAGCGACGCGTTGGGCCGCCTGCTATATGCCCGGGGTGCGGTCGCCGCAGGCTGTCCGGGGAGGAAAGGCTGCCGAGCGCGGGGGTGCGGAATACGGCTTGTTCGCGCCGCTCTCACCCATGAGGATGCGCATCTGTTTCTTGCCGAAGAGGCGCGAGAAGAGCGAGGAGATGGTGAGGCCCATGGCGGCTCCCGGCTGGGGCGCTGCGGCGCAAGGAGCGAGCGGGATGGCGCTAGCCGCGTCGAAGGGGTGGGGGAAGGCAGCAGCAAGCGACCCGAACGTCGGTCCCTCCTGCTCGCTTTCTTTTTCCTCCGCTGCTTTCCTCTCCGGGTGGCGATGAGCTACGGCGAGGGCGCTGGAAGGAGCTCGCGGCGTTCCGCTCACCGAGGCTGCTCTGTCTGCGTCCGGGGGAGCCTGGCTCGCCTCTTCTTCGCTCGCTCTCTGCCACGTCACGACCGCCCCGGCTCCAACGCGGACAGAAACGCGTCACGCCCGCCACATCCTCACCGCGGCGCCGCCCCCACGAACCTTGGAATCAGCCTCGCGAAGGGTAAAAAAAAAGACTACAACTCCCGGGATGCTCCTAGCTAGCAAGCCGCCTTGGAAAGCTTGAGTCTTACGCTGTGCGGCACGACGGGAAAAATAGTTTTTGAGCAATCCGGTGGTTTAGCCTTTCCAAATGGAATGTGACGCGGGGCATGCTGGGGGCTGTAGTAATTTCTTTTTAAAAACCCTTTTCCAAACACCTCTTCCGGGTTTTTTTCCTTCTGCAATGTGTACTGGGAGGCATAGCCTTCCTAGGCGAAGCGCGAGGCCTACTTCCGGTTTGTAGTGCCTTGAACAAAGGTAGTGTCTTTTCAGTTGCCACAGGTTTAATTCTGACAAGTAACAGATCTGGTGATGAAACTGGCTGATGACGCTTTAGATTCCAGCCGCTCCGAGTCTCATATGATGAAAGGAAATCATCTGGGAGGGATTCATTGCAGATCAGCAAAGGTCTATTGGACTATCAACAGCAGTAACAAAAACTGCTTTAAATCTAGAAAAAATTGGGAGAAAATTAGGAGCTTGTCTATCAAAGAATGTGTGCACACAGTATTGATACTGACATTCCTGGTGTGAACCCCAATGGTTCCTCTACTTTTATATTCAGTTTTTGCAATTGTTCTTTACTTTCGTAATTGGTTCTTTACCAATTTGGGTCTGAGCCTGGTGCCAAAGCCAATGATGGATGCCAGACACGAGGTGCAGGTTTTCTGCTTTTTATTGGAGTACTCCAAGGAAAAGGGTTCCTGGTCAAAAGGCCAAGAACAAAGGACTAAGAAAACTTTATATATTTTCACGAAAGGAGAACACAGGACAAGGTGAAATAATAAGAAATATCCTCTAATAAACATTTTAGCAATAATTCTACAATTTGTTCTATT